TCTCTTTAAAATTTATCTTATTTTTTTATTTTGTGTGTATGAATGTATTGCCTGCGTATATGTAAGTGCACCTATGTTGTGCAATACCTGTGGAGGTCAGAAGAGGGCATTGAATCCCCTGGAACTGGATTTACAGACGGGTGTTAGCTGCTGTGTGGGTGCTGGGAATTGAATCTTGGTCTTCTGCAAGAGCAGCCAGTGCTCTAAACCACTGAGCCATCTCTCTGGCACTTGATTTAGTTTATATTTTGTGTGTGTGAGTGGTTTGCTTGTATGTAGGTAAGTGTACCCATGTCATGCAGTGCCTGAGGAGGACAGAAGAGGCTGTCAGATCCCCTTGAACTGGAGTTATGGACAGTTAACTGCCATGTGGGTTCTGGGATTCGAACCCGAGTCTTCTGCAAGAACAGTCAATGTCCTTAATCACTGAGCCATCTCTCCAGCCCTATATGTATATTTCTATTGAATTTTTGTGCATTTTATACAAAATATTTCAATTATCTTTATAACCCCTCCCCCTTTGGTACCCCCCCCCCAATAGCCTGCCCCACTGGATTTCATGTATTCTATCATATATGTAAAGGGCTATGGAGTCAAGTTTGTGTCCCCACATGTCCTTAGAGCAAGTTCATTCACTAGGGTCTAGTCAGCTATCTAGAGTCTCCCTCTTAAAGAAGATCTAGTCTTCCTCACCTAACCGCCAATAGTTCTGCTAAGGCTCGGGTCTGCTGCCCATATCCCTGGTTCTAGGCTGGGTTTAAAGTCTGCTTGAATTTGCATGGGTCTTGTGCATGCTGACACCATTGCTGTAGATTGATAGGAAAAAGCTGCCAGGAGCCTGTAAGACTTTTTTTTAATGTGTGAGTGTATTCCCTGCATGTATGTGAGTGCACCCATGTTGTAAAATGCTTCAGCGGTCAGAAGGGGGCTTCGGTTTCCCCTGGAACTGGAGTTAAGCATGGTTCATAGCCACCATGTGGGTGCTGGGAATCGAACCTGGGTCCTGTGCAAGAGCAGTTAGTGTGCTTAACTGCTGAGCCATCTCTACAGTCCCTGTAAGACTTTTTTTTTTTTTTAAAAAAGAAAACATTTTATTTACTTACGGTTTTTTTTTTTTTTAATATCCCCAGCTGGCCTGGAACTTACTATGTAGATCAGGCTGGCCTTGAACTCACAGAGATCCACCTGCCTCTGCCTCCTGAGTGCTGAGATTAATTTGTTTATTTTTATTTTATGTGTATGGCTGTATTGCCTATATGTATGTAATTGCGCCCATGTCATGCAATGTCTGCAGAGGTTTAGAAGAGAGTGTTGAATTCCCCTGAAACTGGAGTTAGGGCAGTTGTTAGCTACCATGTGGGTGCTGCGAATCAAACCTGGGTTCTCTGTAAAAGGAGTCAGTGGTCTTAACCACTGAGCCATCTCTCCAGCCCTTAAAAAGATTTTTTAATTTTTATTTTATGTGTCTGTATTTGTGTCTGAGTTTTTGTGCAGCATGTATGTGCAGGCTTCCTTGGAAGCCAGAAGAGGATGTCAGGTTCCCTAGAGCTGGAGTTACAGGTGGTTTTGAGATGCCAGATGCGGGTGCTGGGAACCAAAGGAAGGTCTTTTGCAAGAGCAGCAAATACTCTGTTTAGCAACTGAGCCTTCTCTTCAGGCTTTCATTTTCAGATTTTAACTTAAGAAACTTTTTTCTTTCTTGAGACAGGGTGTCTCTGTATCCACAGCTGGCCTGAAACTCAGTATGTAGACTGGACTAGCCTTGATCTCGTAGAGATTGCCTGCCTTTACCTCCCAAGTGCTGGGATTAAAGGTGTGCACCATCATACCTGGCTCAATATTCATTTTTAATTAAGAGGAGAAAAATAGCAATACTTTGTACTTATTTTTTGTTGAAAGGCTATGATTTTACCAAGTTATTCTAACTGTAGCCTAGAATTGATCTATTTATAGTAGTTTACTAAATGTATTGCTCCTCTTTGTTTCTTTTCCAAAATGTATTGCTAGATTTTAAAAAGTTTTATAATTACAGACTTACTCAAAATTACCATTCAGCATATGAGCATAAGAAAGGGTTTTTCCATGGTATAAAAATTGGCTGGTGAGATGGCTCAAAGTGTACAGGCATTTGCTGCCAGGTCTGACCACCTGAGTTCAATCCCTGGCACTCACATCGTGAATGGAGAGAATAGCCTCCTGCAGGTTGTCAGCATAGCCCCCTCCCCCCAAAGAAGTACAGAAATATTTTAAAAATCAAATAAAAATTCAAGTATAATCTAAAGGAGCCATTATTGTAACAGCATGTTACTGTTGTGCAACTTTTTGTCACCAGGTGCTGAGATGCTAAAAATTAATGTTTTGAAATGTTTTTAACCTCAAATTCTTATTCTAGCATGAACTTGCTGTGCATAAGAAGAAAATTGAGGAAGTTGAAACCTGGTTAAAAGCTGAAGTCTTAGAAACAAAGCCAAAACAGGTAATTAAATAAGAAATGCATTTAAAATACTTATTACCATCTACTTCACTGATTTGCAATATATCATAAGAAGTTATCCTTTTTCCTTTTTTCTTCCCTTTTTTTTTTTGGTCTTTTTGAGGCAGGGTCTCCGGAGTACTGGGATTAAAGGCATGTGTCACCACACCTGGCCATGTCTCTAAAAGACTCCTAGAGGGGCTGGGAAGATGGCTTGCCACCAAGCCTGATGACCCAAGTTCACTCCCAGGAACCCTCCTGGTGGGAAAGAACTGACACCTGAAAGTTGTCTTCTGATCTGTACATGTGTGACGTGTTACACACACACTCCCCCACTATAAGTGTTTAAATTCTTTTTTAAAAAACTCCTAGAAACTTGGGGCTGGAGAGAGGGCTCAGCGGTTAAGAGCACTGACTGCTCTTGCAGAGGACCTGGGTCTGATTCCCAGCACCCACATGGCTGCTACAAACCCAGTTCCAGATTCCCAGGTCCAGGGGAATCTGAAGCCCTCTTCTGACTTCTGCAGCATTGCATGACACAGGTGCATTCACATAAATGTTAGGCAATACACTCATACACATAAAATAAAAATAATAAAATATTTTTTTAAAAAAACCCAGCTCCTAGAAACCTGAAAATTTCTCCCCCCCCCCCCTTTATGTCCTATTGTCAGTGTAGGGTATACAGTAAGGCATTTGGAGTACTAGGAATTTTTACACGTAATGCAAGGCAGCAAATTGTATGTTAGTTTAAGAAAAAGAACTAAATATACCCTGAAACAGTCCTTCATGTCACTGGTGGTTTTTTTTGTTCACTTCCTAATTCCTTATTCTTAGCCCCACTTTAAAAGATAGATTATTTTCTCTCCTTCATACATCTTTTTAAAGTTTGAGACTTCAGAATACAGGATATCCACTCATGTCTGTATAAATGTATAATATGCCCATCAATTTCCTCTTCGAGTATTTTATAGTAAATTTAAAACACTGACCTTTTTGGTTTGGGTGTGGTGGCGCACACCTTTAATCCCAGCACTCGGGAGGCAGAGGCAGGCGGATCTCTGTGAGTTCAAGGCCAGCCTGGTCTACATAGTGAGTTCCAGGACAGCTGGGGCTACAGGGAGACCCTGTCTCAAAAAGACCAAAAAAAAAACCAAAAAAACACTGACATTTTAGCCAGATTTTGAAGTATATCTCACTTTAAATTTTTATTGCTAATTTACTATATATACCCTATTCTGCCTTTAAAAAACTACAGGACCCTGATGCTATCTAAACAGTTCATCTTCACAGCTCTCCTTTTGTCCCCAAGATATCTTCTGCAGCTGGTTTGTTTCAGCTAGAATCTAAACAAGGACCACATCTTGCATATGATGGTGCATCTCCTAGATCTTTTGTTTTCTTAATCTTGTAACTGTCTTTTCTACCCTTTTTCTGTAAGACATTTACTTGAAGAGACTAGACCAGTTGGCTAAATAAAGCTAGTATTTTATGTCTTAAATGTTGTTAAAATATCCTACAGAATTTATTTTGTGTTTTACTGTTAAGACTACAAACTTAAAGACTTTAATATCAAGCATATTTTTCTTTAAATGTTTCATTTTTAAAATTTTTTTTCTTTTTTACTTTTTTTTGAGACAAGGTCTTGCTATGTAGTTCTGAATGGTCTTGAACTCACTGAGTAGACCAGGCTGGCCTTGAACTCAACAGAAATCTATGTGTGTCTGCCTCCTGAGTGCTGGGATTAAAGGTATGCACCACTACATCTGGCTTTGATCAAAAGGCTTATTTTTTTTAATTAATTAAGGTTTTTTTAAGACAGGTATCCCATCTGGCCTGGAACTCACTATGTAGAGCAGCCTGGGTTCCTTCCTCAACCCACTCCCCGCCAAGTGCTGGGATTAAGGTGTGTGCCACCATGTTTGGCTTTGTTCGGCGCTGCTTTTATATTTTTCTCTTCTTGTTTTGGAATTATGTGTGGATAGGGGACTTGAACCAGGGTGTTGCACAATCTGAACAGGTATTCTACCAGTAAGCTACATACTCAGCCCCAACTTGTCAGTTTCAGTTTCTTTTTCTCTTAGAAATATCTGATTTAATATATATAGTTGGTTCATTAACACTGAATTTAAGATGAATAGCATTGTAATTTATGTATTAGCATTTTAAAAGGTATCACCATTTTAAAAGGCTTTTTGGGTCAAGTACATACACAAGTCCTTATTGTAAGGTAAATGAGTGAGCAAAGATTATAATTATAGCCCACCATTGCATATAGGATTCCCTTCCCCTGACACCTTTTTTTTTTAGCAGATATACTATATGAGGAATGTTATTAGGATCCACAACCTCTTGTCTCTCATGAGTCCTGTCTGCTGAATTTGTTTAATATACTTTTTTTTAAGTAATCTAATATCCTGAGATCTTCCTATAAAAATATTACACTTTGGGGCTGGAGAGATAGATGGCTCAGCAGGTAAGAGCATTCGCTACTTTTAGACCTGGGTTTGGTTCCCAGCACCTACATGGTGGCTCACAACTACCTATACTTCCAATTTCAGGAATCCGATGCCCTCTTCTGGTGTCTGTGGGTACCTCTGTTGTGCACTGTATACATGCAGGCAAAACACATGCATATAAAATAAATCTTTAAAGATATTCCCCATGTATAATCAATGAGATGGCTATATTACAATTGAATTTTTTTAATTTTTAAATTTTTATTTTATATATAAGTGCACCCGTGTTGTGCAGTGCCCAGGTAGGTCAGAAGAGGGCATTGAATCCCCTGGAGCTGTAGTTACAGACTGTTAGCTGCTATGTGGGTGCTGAGAATTGAACCCAGATCCTCTGTAAGAGTAGACAGTACTCTTAATTGCTGAGCCATCTCTCTAGTCCCTACAATTGAATTTTTATGTGTAGCAATTCATATGTGTGCAAATACACATGCAGTCTAGAGGTTGTCATTAGATGTCTTTCTCTATCGATCTCCACCTTATTTTTTTGAGAAAGGGTCTCACTACACCTGGAGCTTACCAATTAAGCTAGACAGGCTGGCTGGCAAGACCTAGGGATACTCCTGTCTCTGCTGGGATTACAGGAGCATGCTGCTGTGCCTAGTATGTGGGTGTTAGGGATCTAAACTCAGGTCCTTATGCTTGTATGGCAACTATTTTATTGATTAAGACATCTCTCCAATCTCTTTTTTGAATTTTATGAGTTCTACTAACCTCTTAAGAATCTTGCTTCAGATTTTATGCCTTTCATTTAGCTAAGTTTGTTTTAATTTAGTGACTAACTTCTTTGGGAAGGATACAATGTAGACTTGAGGAATTTTCAGAAGACAAGATCTTATTTTATCTAAAGTTGGTTTAATCTTGAAATGCAGTTGTTTGTATTAGATATTTAATAAATATTGGTAGAAGCAGTAAATACTAAAAAAAAAACTCAAAAATTGTTTGCATTCCAGTGGTCGTGATTTTTAATTAATGTTTGTGTTTGGTTTTAGGGTGGATCTATTTTATTAATAACAGGTCCTCCAGGATGTGGAAAGACAATTACTATAAAAATACTATCAAAGGAGCATGGGATTCAAGTACAAGAATGGGTTAATCCAGTTTTACCAGACTTCCAAAAAGATGATTTCAAGGAGTTACTTAGTTTTGGTAAGGTTTGTTATGAAGGGCTGGAAATTGCAGGGGGAGCTTTGCTTAGGGATGTTTCCAGATGAAGTGCTGTGAGCACATTTTTCTCCCATTCTTATCAGTTTGAGAAGTGAAAGATGCCCTGAGTAGAGGAGAATGGGGTTCTTTGAGTTCAGTTAAATTTTAACTCTTTGTTAGATAACAATTTATTGTTAGGCTTGGCAACAGGTACCTTTACCTGCTGAGCCATCCACCTGCCTGGGTTTTAGGGTTTTTGGGCAGTGTTTCATGTAATTAGGATGGCCTCAAACTCCTGATCCTCCTGCTTCCACCTCTCAAGTGCTGAGATGACATACAGCAGGTATGTGATATATACCAGCTTAGCAGGCTCTTATGTTTTCTTTTTTTCTTTTTTTTTTGTCTTTTTGAGACAGGGTCTCTCTGTATCCCCAGGTGGCCTGGAACTCACTATGTAGACCAGGCTGGCCTTGAATTCACAGAGATCACCTGCCTCTGCTTCCCAAGTGCTGGGATTAAAGACATGTGCCACCACTCCCAGCTTTTTTTTTTTTTTGGAGACATAGTTTCACTATGTAGCCCTGTTTCTACCTCTTGGGTGCTGAACTTAAAGGAAGGTACCACCATCTTGTTTTTATTGTTAAACCTTTATTAATGAAGAAAATTTATTTTTAGTCTCACATTCATTAAATCATAGCATAATTTTAAATCATAGATATTTTCACCAAGTATATGAATATTATTCTGGCAGGTATTCTTTATTCACATATATTAATTATACATAGTAATAGGTTTCATTATGCTATTTTTGTACATGTATAAAATGTATTTTTATCATATTTACCTCTGTTATCTTTTCTTTCCCAGTACTGCTGATCCCCATCCTCTGCCCAGCTAGTCCCCTTTCTAACTTCATGTTTTATTTTGTGATTCATTGCATTTTATTAGGATTTCTTATAGGATGCAGGGTAAGGGACTATTTACAAGATCATGGGCTCCCTAATAGTGGTTATACCACTGAAGAAAATATCTCTCCCTCCCCCAGCAACCAGTAGTTCCTCAGAGAGGACTGGGGCTTCATGAGCCACTCCCACTAGATACCGCTATTAGGATCTCATATGCAAGGCTTCCCACCAGGCAGAATGTTGGCAGGCCTAATCTTGTGCAGGCCTTGTGTTGTTAAACACAACTGCTGTGAGATCAAGAATGCTGTGGTAAACTGGGCATGGTATGGTGGTGCACGCCTTTAATCCTAGCACTCAGGAGGCAGAGTCAGATAGACTCCTGTGAGTTCAAGGTCAACCTGGTCTACATAGCATGTTCCAGGCTATCTAGGGTTACATAGACCCTGTCTCAAAAACCAAACCAAAGAATGCAGTGGTGGTATCATGATCTAAAGACAGCATTCCACCCCTACTCCTTCCTCTAACTTTTAGCCCCCTCTTTCATGATGTTCCCTAAGTCTTGGCAGAGGTGATACGGATGTTCCATTTATGACTGCATTCAAAATCCCTTGTTCCCCTTACTTTGATCAGTTATGAGTCTCTGCAGTTATCACTGCACACTGTTAAAGGAGAGCTTCTTTGACCACAGTTGATGGCCACATTGATCTGTGGGTATAAACATAATTATTTAGAAGGCAGAGTGATGGGCATATCATATCCCTTTAGCGAAACAACAGCAGTAGCTTCCTCATGATGGCCTATGACTTCCCCAGCTATGAGCTTTTGACCAGTTAGTTACCACACCACCCGTGACAGATTTGCCACTGTGGCACTAGTAAGCACTTCTTGCCTTAACTAGTCAGTAGTATAACACATAGGGTCCACAACTCACTAAAACTTATTGATGACAATTCTCCCATAGCACCCCGCATAAATAACTTGTTTTGTTTTGTTTTGTTTTGACTCCCAGCACTCACATGGCAGCTAACAGCTGTCCGTAACTCCAGTTCCAGGGGATCCAACAGTCTCTTCTGTCCTACATGGGCATTGCATGACACGGGTGTACTTACCTACATGCATACACATAAAATAAAAATAATAAATATTTTAAAAGTCTTACTGTAAGCTGCATCTCATAAGTGAATTTATGATGTGTGTAATGTATGTCTAATATGCATAATATTAATGTATATATAACTAGAAATAAAATGATAAATGCATTTCCTTCCAGAATCGAGCTTCCATATATTTCCATATCAATCTCAGATAGCAGTCTTCAAAGACTTTCTACTAAGAGCCACAAAGTATAACAAACTACAAATGTTTGGAGATGATCTGACAACTGATAAGAAGATAATTCTGGTTGAAGTAAGAACAACTTTTAAGATTTGCTGTAGCCATTGGGTATCAGTTGTGATATTTTTTTTTTGATTGATTGATTTTTATTTTATGTGTATAAGTGTTTTCCCTGCATGTATGTAACTGCACCCATGTTCTGCTATGCCGGCAGAGGTCAGAAGAGAGTGTTAGATCCCCTGGAACTGGAGTTTTGGATGATTGTTAACCCTCATGTGGGGTCTGGGGACAAACCCAGGTCCTCTACAAGAGCACCCAGTGCTCTTAACCTCTCAGCCATCTTGCCAGGCCCATATCTTATGTATTATCGTTGATAGCTTTGTGATAGTAGAAGCCTGATGTTTTTCAGTAAACATGAAAAGAATAGCTATCGGTTAACAATAGATATAGGTTAACCTAGTTTAAGATGTAATGCCTTTTATATAGAAAAGCAAAAGAGAATTATGTGTCAATGAAAGTACTGGAAATGTTAATGTGACCCTAAGAAATTTGGTCTGAAATTGGTGATTTACGTTGATAATACTCTTTTATTTAATTTTTCAGTTTTATTTATTTTGTGTGTATGAGTGTATTGCCTACGTGTATAATATTAATTATGTAAGTAATTATGTATGTAAGTGTACCTGTGTTGTACAATGCCCAAAGAGGTCAGAAGAGAATGTCAGAATTCCCTGGAACTGGAGTTATGGATAGTTATTAGCGCCCATGTGGGTGCTGGGAACTGAACTCAGGTTCTCTGCAAGAGCAGCCAGTGCTCTTAACTGCTAAGCCAACTCTCTGGCCCCTGATATTACTCTTTTAAAATATCAATTGTTTTATATTTTACTTTCTCTGAAAACTGTGATTAACATACATAGGATGAATAAAATTTTTCTTTTCTAAATAAAAATTAAAAATAAACATGGTGGGATGGTGTATATCTTTAGTCCAAGCACTTAAAAGGCAGAGGCAGGCAGATCTCTGTGAGATCAAGGCCAGCCTGGTCTACATAGTGAGTTCCAAGCCCGCTGGGACTACAGAGAGACCCTGTCTCAAAAAGACCAAAAATTAAAAAATAAATAAGAATGAAAAAATATGCAGTGGAATGTATGAGCTAATATTTGTCCTTTATCTTTACTAGGATTTTCCTAATCAGTTTTATCGAGATTCTCCTTCTTTGCATGAAATTCTAAGGTAAGTGTCAGTGAAGTCCAGTATTCTAAAACTCTACATTAGGGGTTGGAGCTATAACTCAGTAGTAGAACACTCTCTGAGCAAGAGCAAGGCCCTGAGGTTGATCCCAGTATTGCAAAAAAGAAAAAAAAAAAAGTTGACCAAAATAAGTAAAATTCTATGTGAAATGCCAAATGGCTTAAATTACAATATTACTGTATTTTATTATTTTAGGAAGTATGTGCAGATTGGCCGATGTCCTCTAGTATTTATAATTTCTGACAGTGTCAGTGGAGAAAATAATCAGAAATTACTGTTTCCCAAAGAAATTCAAGAAGAGTGTTCTATTTCAAACATTAGGTAAGAACTTTCTGTTCCCAATATTCACATATAACATTTTAATTAATTTTAATACATTATTTATTGTTTTTATTTTATGTACATGTAGGTAGGTGCACCTGTGTTGTGCAATCCCTGCAGGGGTCAGAAGAGGGCATCAGATCCCCTGGAACTGGAGTTACATATGGTTGTTAGCCACCATGAAGGTACTGGGAATCAAACCCAGGTCCTCTGCAAGAGCAGCCAGTGTTAAAGATGTTTTCAATTTATTTTTATTTTATGTATATGAGTGTTTCACTTACATGAGTGTATGTGTACCACATGTATGCCTGGTGCCTTTGAAGAGGGCTCAAAATCCCTGGGAAATGGAGTTAAAGATGATTATGAGCTGCCATGTAGGTGCTGAGTACTGAACCTGAGTACACTACAAGAGCAGCAAATGTTCTTAACCACTGAGCCATCTCTCCAGCCCCCGTTGTGCTTAAATTAATCATCTAACCACCATCTTTCTTTTTACAGTTTCAACCCTGTGGCACCAACAATCATGATGAAATTTCTTAATCGAATAGTGACTATAGAAGCTAATAAGGTAAATCTGATTAGACTTATACTGTACCTTTTCCCTTACTGGACATCTGAAGGCAGGATGGACCACGAGCAGCTCTACTTAGAGTCACCCTCAAAGATTCCCCCAGTGTTCTCACTGTTGTGGTCTCTATTCAAACTCCTCAGGGTCTGATCTGATCTGGAAATATGGGCTGAACCTATGCCAGAAGGATTTTCAGTCAGCACTCAAACTGCAGGCTTCATTAAGTTGGACTAAGCGACCTTTCTTGAGTGGATTATTTAAGTCTTCTCTACCCAATGAAACAGAAGTCCTTTAAAAAAAAAAGGCCTTAAGAAGCCAGTCTTGGTGGCACACACTTTTAATCCCAGCACTCTGGAGGCAGAGGCAGGTGGATCTCTCTGAGTTCAAGGCCAGTCTGGTCTACATAGTAAGTTCCAGGCCAGCTGGGGCTATAGGGAGACCCTGTCTCAAAAAGAAAAGACCGGGGCTGGAGAGATGGCTCAGCAGTTAAGAGCACTGACTGCTCTTGCAGAGGACCTGGGTTCTATTCCCAGCACCCACATGGCGGCTACAAACCATCCTTAACTCCAGTTCCAGGTCTACATAGTGAGTTCCAGGACAGCTGGGGCTACAGGGAGACCCTGCCTCAAAAAAAAAAAAAAAAAAACATATATATATATATACTGTTTTCCACGATAATTGGTAAGGGAAGGGAAGGGAATGGATGGGATAGGCTATGAATAGTCACAGGAATTAATTTTGTCAGTAAGCTGTTAGAGGTTTATGAAGGGATAAGGGCAAATTTTATCTTGCCTTGTACTTGTACAACAAATGTGATGCTAAGTTAATGAACTTATGTGTATGTGTGAATTTATATACATAGCCTTAAAATGTAAACATGTCAAACATATGAAACAGCCTTGTTTGTATATGTATATATAGTGAGAAGGAAAGTGAAAAATTAAGCTGCTTAAAATATAAAAGTAAATACGATGTACTACTCCAATTTTGCCTTAAACTATATTGAGTACATTGACACCATTCATAGGCACACTGGTATTTAACAATATGTTCCCTTTTTTGGAGACAGGATCTCTGTAGTTAGAACTTGTGGTTCTCCTTCCTCAACCTCCCACATGATGGGATTATAGTCATGTGCCACCATACCTCGCTGAGGAGGTTTTTGAGCATTTAAATTTGAAAAAAAAAACCTAATTTGTCTATTAAGTTCACAAAATGGATTTTGAGTTTGTGTGTATGTATGTGTGTTTTAATAAAACAGTTTTTAAGCATTTTATTTCCTCCTCTTAGAGTGGAGGAAGAATTACTGTTCCTGATAAAACATCTCTGGAGTTGCTCTGTCAAGGATGTTCTGGTGATATCAGAAGTGCAATAAACAGCCTCCAGTTTTCTTCTTCAAAAGGTAACTAGCTGTAGAAGACACATTCATAAAGTATAATAGGTAACATTCTCTTAATTATTCATGAAATAAAATCTAATCAAACTCTAAATGTAGTTCTGGGGATCAATCCCAGGGTCTTCCATGTAGTGGTATTACTGTTATACTAAGAATTGCTTGTGGGGCTGGAGAGATGGCTCAGTGGTTAAGAGCACTGACTGCTCTTGCACAGGACCCGGGTTCGATTCCCAGCACCAACATGGCAGCTACGAACTGTCCTTAACTCCAGTTCCAGGGGAATCCGAAGCCCTCTTCTGACCTCCGTGGCATTGCATGACATGGGTGCACTCACATACATGCAGACAATACACTCATATACATGGAATAAGGATAATAAATAAAATTAAAAAAAGAAAAAGAATTGCTTGCAAATCACAAACAAAGGCCACTATTTAAAAATATCAAAAATTTTCAGGCATGATGGCACATATCTTTAATCCCAACACTTGGGAGGCAGAGGCAGGTGAATCTCTGAAATTGAGGCCAGCCTGGTCTACATAGCAAGGTCCAGACCAGCTAGAGCAACAGAGAGACCCTGTCTCAACAAAAAAGAAAAAAGAGGCCAGGCATGGTGTCACATGCCTTTAATCCCAGCACTCAGGAAGCAGAGGCAGGCAGATCTCTGTGAGTTCAAGGCCAGCCTGGTTTCCATAACAAATCCAGGCCAGCTAGGGCTACAGGGAGATCCTGTTTCAAAAAAAAGACTGAAAAAAAGAGAGAATATTTATAGAGTTCTTATCATAGTGCTTGATACATATTAGGACCTCAACAAATGATTAGTAGGTTGTTGTTTTTTTTTTTTTTTCAGTCTTTGTGAGACAGGGTCTCCCTGTAGCCCCAGCTGGTGTGGACTATGTCAACCAGGCTGGCCTTGAACTCACAGAGATCTACCTGCCTCTGCTGGGATTAAAGACATGCACCATTCTGTCTGGCCTTGTTTTATTTATTTTTACTTTATATGTATAAGTGTATTGCCTGTGTGTACCTAAGTGCACTATGTGTGTGCAGTGCCCAAGGAGGCCATAGAGGGCATCAGATCCCTGGTACTGGTGTTTCAGAAGGTTGTGTGCTGCCATGAGAGTTTATGGTAGCAATTAGATGGTCTTTTATTTTTGTTACATTTATTTATTTGTGTGTATGTACCTTTGTTTCTGCACACACACACACACACACACACACACACACACACACACACACCATGGTGTATATGTGGAGATCAGAGAACAACTTGTGGGGGTGGTTCTCTCCTTTCACTATATGGATCCACTATGAGGGTAAAATTTGTTATGTAGCATGTATCAAAAAAGTACCTTGGCTGAGTGTGGTAGTGCATACCTTTAACCAGAGACAGAGAGAGGCAGATCTCTGTGAGATCAAGGCCAGCCTGATCTACATAGCAAGTTCCAGGCCAGCTGGGGTTATGAGGAGACCCTGTCTCAAAAAGACCTCCCAAAAAGTACCTTGTACATAATGCTATGGAGACCAAGGTGATACGAATATAAATGTGAAAATTTGTAGTGTTGTGAGATACTAATTTCTTTTGTGTTGAGGATTATAAAACAATTTTAAATGACTTCCATTTTAATAGTTGACAACACAGAGGACTCCTGACTAAAGTTCACATATAATTATTGCTTACTAGAAGATTTTACTTAGAATATTTAATGTAACTTTATCTGAAATGCTCTAGTTTTAATTTTTATACTTCAGTTTTTAATATGCTCATTTGGGTATATATTATTTAGGAGAGAGCAATTTATGGTCAAGAAAAAAAGGACTGCCATTAAAATCAGATGCTGCTCTGTCAAAATCAAAGCGAAGAAAGAAAACTGATAATATTCTTGAAAACCAAGAGGTCCAAGCTATTGGTGGCAAAGATGTTTCTCTCTTTCTCTTCAGAGCTTTGGGGAAAATTCTATACTGTAAAAGTAAGAAACTTTCTGCATTTTTTTCCCTTGTTATATATTGGTCTTGCTATAGAAATAAGATACTTCTTGTTTTGAAATGCCTTATATCTTGTTTTTTTACAGGAGAAAGCTAGGGCCCAGTCAGATTCTGCCTAGCCATGCTTAAAAACAGTGTAACAGGAAAATGTTTTCAACTGTATGGAACATTTTCCAATTGTGATCGTGATTGTGAACATAAAAACAACTATTGTAGACCATATCCATGTCCATAAATTATTAAAATTTTAATTTCTCAAAGGCCATCTAGACTTAGTGGCAATGGCAAGAATTAATAGTGTGAAGTTATCTTATACTAGAGTTGCCACACTGGAGCCATTGGCAAGGTGCCAAGGAGCTTGGGGTTTCTTTGTCTCTCTGCCAGTTTGCTATCCTCACTTCCAGAGGTGTCTATTGCTCTCATTTGTCCTCTGTGCTGCCTTTTCCACGTAGTCTTTTCACCCCTACTACCTGCCCCTGATCTACCAAACTGTCCCTCCTTTCAGTAAAATTCCAAACTCCTGTTCTTTGTCTAACAAATACTATTTGATATTATGATCCTGACAAAAGAAATTGGGATTTCAAAATGGAAGCCTGTAAAGGCATAAGGCATGTAAGAAAAGTGAAGTGGCCATCATGCAGGAGGTAGTGAAAATGCTCATCTGCCTCTGGAGCCTCTTCCCTCAGCCTCAGTGGCTATTCTCGCCTAATTCTGTTCCTTCTGCTGTTTCTTTTCCTTCCCAGTGTTCATTTGTAATCTCTTGCATTAGGGAATGGTATTCTCATTCTTGAAGGGAGAGCAACCTGGTCCTAAACAGTAAAGAAACAATAATATATATAATAAAGTCTTCCATATTGAGACAAGTCAAAGGGAGAAAAATCACTCAGTTAGAAAGAGGAAATTGGAAGTGTTTTGAAAAATCGTATAATTTGCTGGGTATGGTGGCGCACGCCTTTAGTCCCAGCACTCAAGAGGCAGAGGCAGATGGATCTCTATGAGTTCGAGGACAGCCTGGTCTACATAGTAAGTTCCAGGCTAGCTGGACTCTGGATTTCCAGGCCAGCTGGACTCTTTTGGACCCTGTCTCAAAAAGACCAAAAAAAAAAAAAACCCAAGAAAAATGGTATAATTTAAGTCTAGAAAAGCTATAATTCAAACATTAGTATTCTAACTTTAGTTCTTGCTAGGAAAGCTCGTTTGTTTTGTTTTGATTTTTTTAATAGCTTGCTTAGTATTTTGGTATTTGTTTCTAAAGTATTGAAAATCCGCATATGAAAAGTACTGTAATTATAATTATAAAGATGGTATTAATAATAATTGAATAATTCCAGAAATTGTTTTATAGGAGCACCATTAGCAGAATTGGACGTTCCTCAGTTGCCTTCTCATTTATCAGAGCATGAACGGGATCCGTTACTTGTTCAGCCTGAGGTAGGCTCTTTAATACCTCTTGGGACTGAATGTGTATCATGTGTACATAAACATCTGATCACTGCATATGGAACAAAATGTATGTGTTTTTGTCTCAATAGGAAATAGTAGAAATGTCACACATGCCAGGAGACATTTTTAATTTATATCTTCACCAAAACTACATTGATTTCTTCACGGAAGTAGATGATCTTGTGAGAGCCAGTGAATTCCTAAGTTTTGCAGATATCCTCAGTGGGGACTGGAATGTAAGATCATTTGATTTAAATATTTTTATATGTTTGTATTCCCTCAGAATTGAGTAAAAAAGGTGGCCTTTATCCCTATTTCATATGTTTTGTGACTCTTCTCACTTACTACGCTAAATCTAATTCATCAAACCAGTGTTTAGATGAAGCTTCAGTAGGTTATTTTGACTTATCTGTTGCTATATATCACTAACTTTTTTCTAAAGTTATTTTCTAATTTTAAATTAACATGTCAGAAAATTTAACAGTCATTGAAAATTAAATTTTTTTTTAATTACTAAAGCTGGGCTTGGTGGAGCATGCCTTTAATCCCAGCACTTGGAAGGCAGAGGCAGGTGGATCTCTGTGAGTTCAAGGCAGGAAAGAAAGAAAGGAAGGAAGGAAGGAAGGAGGGAGGGAGGGAGGGAGGGAGGGAGGACTATATATTAGCTGAGGTGTGGCTCAGTGGTAGAGCACATCTTAATATGCAAAGCTACCTTGTTTTAAACATTTTTTTCTTATTAATATATGTGTGGTGGTTATGTGTGCTATGGTACACATGTAGAGGTCAGAGACAACTTTGTGGAGTGGGTTTTCTTCTTCCACCTTTACATGGGTTCCAGGGATCAATTCAGGTCATCAGGCTTGCTTGACAAGTGCTTCTACCCGCTGAGCTATTTTCCCAACCCTGTTAATTTTTTGAAACGGTACCCTGCTATGTTGCCCAGGCTGGTCTCAATCTCCCAGGTAGCTCAGACAGCAGCCATGCCCATCATCCCCATACCTGTATTTCTTTCTTAATATCTTAATACTACCCTCACCAGTACAATAGCTGTTTAAATTATTTTACATTTAAAATTCAGTTCCTTAGTCATACTAGCCACACATTTGTAGAACTTGATAGCTATATGTGGTTAGTACCTACTTTATCAAACAGCCCATCAATAAAACACGTCCATCACTGTAACTTTTGTTAGACAGCACTGGTCTGATAATATTTCTCTGGGTTAAAAATATTTCTTTAGTATTAATAACTAAAATTAGGAAATACATAAAAAATTCATAGAATTTTTATTACTCAGTTTCCTTTACACAATTTTTTTTTTTTTTTTTTTTTTTGTTTTTTTTTATTTTTTTTTCCGTGTGTGTGTGTGTGTGTGTGTGTGTGTGTGTGTGTGTGTGC